TGTGTGATACTGGACAAATAACAATCTCTCAGTGCTCCAGAAAAGCCTGTAAGTTGCACAGAAGATGCCTATCTGCATTGGTAGAGCTCCCTATACTGATCATATCTGAGGTCTAAATACATATATACACACACACATATTATATATACACATACATCATACATAGATATGTACAAACTGTCTTCATTGATACAATCTAAAAGCTTTGAGGGAAGGGACTGTCTCACTTTCATCTTTGTATCTCCAATACACAATACAATGCCTGGCACACAGCAGGTACTTACTGATTGATGGATGGTCCTATAATCCCGAGAGAATCCTCATTTTGAAGTGAGTAATATGGCCCTTCTGCTCTGGGAGCCCCTGGTCTGAGGGACGAAGACGCAGTCTCTATTCTTATGGGATTCTTTGTTTGAGGTCAAAATCACTACCCTGGTCCTGAGGAAGTCCCTGGCATGATGAAGGAGACAGCCCCTTCACTCAATGAGTTTTTGATCTGAAGGTGGGGGAGGGGATGGCCCCCATCCTCACTGACTACAAAGTCTGAGGAGAGAGACGCTCTATGCTTGGATTGTACCAGGTCTGATAGAAGGGGCAAGATCCATAGAAACAAGATACTCCCTGCTGCTCAAGAGAGCTCTGTATTCAGGACTGCAGTATGTGTGTGTGTATACATACATACATACATATACACACATATATACACAAATATCTTAGTATATAACATATATACACACACATATACATTCTATACAGAGATACATTCTGTGTGTGTGTGTGTGTGTGTGTGTGTGTGTGTGTGTGTGTGTGTGTATGTATATCTATCTATCTTGGCATATAAAGCTTCCTGTCCCTTCCTTTCCCTCCCTAGAGTAGGATTCATGGAGACTCCACAGTGGGGTCTTTCCTCCTCCCTTCCTGATCTCCCAGCTTTTCTCTGCTCTATCCCCTCCAGAACAATGGGGTCTCAGCGTTTTAAAGTACTTCCCCTGGCCTCATTCCAGAGCTTCTGAGATAGGTGGAGAGCTGGAGCCTGGCCTTCTCTCCCGGCCTCCTGCAGCCTTTGTCCCTTTCCAAGACACTAATCCTCTCACCTTACAATTTGTCTCCAGTGCCAAGCAGCAGGGGCTGGATCAAGAGTCCAGGATTAAGCAGGTGAGTGGACCAGATCTCCTCTCTGGGAGGCTGCCCCGGGGAGACTCATAGGGATTAAAATGAAATAGAACAGCACAGGCAGGGGAAAAGACAGCCTCACCCAGAGGGAACCCTACTAATGGTTTGCTTTGACTGACAAAACTCAAAGTCACCAGGGTCCCTCATCCTCCTGGCCCTGGGTATTTTTAACAATTACCAGAAGGTCTTCCCTTATAGGGATAGTGGGTATATGAGATGCAGGAACCCAGGGAAGACACACACTTGTACACAAGCCCTGAGTTAGCCTGTGGCTGAGGCCATCAGAGTGAAATAATGAATAAGAGCTGAATTTGAAATCAGAGGATCTTGGGGCTATTCTTGGCTCTCACTTACTGCCTACCTGTGTGACCCTGGGCAGGTCGCCTTCCCTCTCTGGGCCTCACCTTGGCAGAGGCAGAATGAAGACCTGTTTTTGTAATCTTCCCTCAGACTCTCACTTGCTGTGTGATCCTCAGGAAGACTCACCTCTCTGGGCTTCAGTCTGTTCATCTGTAAAATGAAGGGGGCTGGGCTCTAAGGTCCTTTCCAGTTATAAGTCTCTTACCCTACGATCTGTAAAATGAAGGATTTGGACCATCAAGAGTTCTTAACTTGGGCTCTGCAATGTTGCTCTTTAAACATATTTTGATATCTGTACTTTGATACACTTGAGTTTCTTCGTAATCCTATGTATTTTAGTTGATACATTTAAACACATTCTCCTGAGAGGAAATCCATAGGCATAGACTGACAAAAAGGGTCCATGGCAAAAAGAGGGTTAAGAATCGCTGCACTAGATCGTCATCAAGGTTCCTTCCAACCACAAATCTATGATCCTATAATCCATTTAATTGAGTTGCTCTTAAACAACAACAGTTTTTTAGCCCTGTCTTGTTATCATTCCTCACCCCACAAACACACACTTCCTGGTTGCAGAACCCTCTTCTCCTCCTCTCTCCCTCCTTGTTTTTTCTGGGAATATTTCACCTCTTTCTTTAGCATTTCTATGGCAGTTTAAGATTTTCAAAGTGGGGGGCAGTGAGGTGGCACCGTGGATAGAGTACCAGCCCTGCAGTCAGGAGGACCCGAGTTCAAATCTGTCCTCAGACCAAGCACTTGACACTGTGTGACCCTGGGCAAGTCACTTAACCCCAATCGCCTTAAAAAAAAAAGATTTGCAAAGTGCACTGCAAATATTATCTCATTGGATCCTCTCAGTGACCCTGGAAAGTAGGTGTTATTATTATCCTCATTTTACAGATGGGGAAACTGAGACAGATAACAGTTACAATGACTTTCCCAGCGTCACAAAACTATAATAGACAGGTAGGATTTAAACACGAGGATTCCTGACAGCAAGTCCAATGCTCCATCCACTGTGCTACCCTTTCCCATATCACACTCTCCCTTATAAATTGTACTTATTTGTATTCACATAAATTATATGTAAAATTGACTCATTTGTAGTCATGTATTCACGTCATATCTCCACAAAGTCTGAGGAGGGAGACAATATGCTACCTTTGGGAAATCCTATTAGACTGTAAGCCCCTTGAGGACAGAGAGTGTATTATTTTTTAATCTCTATCCCCCTAGTGCCCAGAACAGTGTGTAGCCCCTTAAGGATATGAAGCTAGTTGTGTGACCCTCTGAATCTTCTCTTATTCAGACATCAAGCATCTCTAGCCAATCCTCAGAGGGCACAGCCTCAGGCCCCTCTCCATGGTCTAGTTTCTCTCTGGCTTGTCAATATATAACCTAAAATGTGGAGCCTGGAATTGATCATAATGAATGCCCCAGAGGTGGTATGCTCATGGCATGAGGCAGTGAGCTGCTCATTTCCTGACTCTGGATCCTGTATATTTATCTCTTAATGTAGCCAAGAGAGCCTGGCTTTTCTGAGGGTTGTATTCTACTGATGACTCATAATGGGCTTGAAGTTCACTAACCACTGTACCTCCTAACCCTTTTCAGATGAGTAGCTGTTCTCTAGACAGATCTCCTGACCTTGGACATCATGAGGTTGACTTTTTGATGTTCTGTAAATGTATGGATTGATTAGGAGGTCAGTGACTCCAACCTCTACCTCAGGGAGGGGAGTTTACTGAAATGGCCTTGGATGTGGCCTAGTGACTGATTTCACATGCTGCCATTACCATCCTCATGCTGGGTCAAGCCGGAAGGGAGCTCAGAGGCCAGATAGCAGCAGAAGCAGGATCCTTACCTCCTCCTTCCTGTCCCTCACAATACCCTTCTCCCTAACCCTGGGTGAGACATAATAGGAGGCAAGCTGTCTCCAAAAGAGCATAGAATCGAGAGTTAGAAGCCCTGGGTTTTGATCTCCATTTCCCTTCATCTTTATGGCCTCAGTTTACTCGTTTGTTGAATGGGTATAGTAAGCCCACTCACCTGCACAAAGAGAACTCAAGAGAAGTTGGGCTGGCTGAATGAAAGGATGCACAGCCAGAGAGACCCCTTTCATCTGCAGCTGACTTCCTCAAAGCAGTCAGAAGTCTGGATGCAGCAAACAAACCATCATCTCCCCCTGCTGATTATTAGAGCAATTAGCATTCACTCAGCCTCCAGCAGCTTTATCAAATACCGTTGACTTCAAGCCTAGAAGTGCCAAGCCTGGGCAAGGGGAGAAGGACAACAGTGATACAGCGTTCTCCTTTTCCTTATTCCTTTTTCAGATCCTTCTCAGTCTCCTCTCTGCCTGGGACCCCTGGAGCCTGTCCTAAGCTGGATTTCCAGAACAAATGAGCCCTGAATCCCGGCTTCCCATCTCGATAGTGGGAATAAAGAAGGTCAACAGATGTCTGCCAAACAGAACATGGGATGTCAGAAAGCAAGCAGAGACCCTAGTATATGAAATATGATAGCTGGGGGAGCATAGATCTAGAGCATTAGATCTGGAAGGGGCTTTAGAACCTAAAATGTCAGAACTAGAAAGAACCTGGCAATAAAGAGGACAGAACTTTTGAGCTAGGAGATAACTTGGAGATCATTTAGTCAAACTCCCTCATTTTACAAGAAACCAGTCATTCAGTCCATAAACATTTATTAAGCATTTGTGCCAGAGGCTGGGAATACAAAAAAAGGCCAAAACACAGTCCTTGTCCTCAAAGAGCTCGCTGTCTAATGACATGTCCAAGGTTACACAGCATGTTGGCAGCAGAGCCAGGAACAGTAATAACAATGATTATTATTATTTTCGTTTATATAGGTGCAGTGCTCCATCTACTATGTGTGTACGTATATACATGCATATAAAATCTCATTTGAGCCTTACAATAACCTTGTGAGGTTGGTGCTATCATTATCCCCATTTTACAGGTGGGGAAAGTGAGGCACAATGCAGCTAGTAAGTGACTGAAGTAGCATTTGAACCCAGGTCTTCCTGATTCTAAGTCTTGCACTCTATCAATTGTGCCTCCTACTTGCTGACACATAAAAAAGGACCAGAAGAGAACCCAAGGCTTCTCATGCTTGATGGGTATTGTGTCCAGATAGGTCTTCTTTCTTGTTCTTGAGTCCAGAGTGCCTGGGATCCCTAGTGTGATAGGATTTGGAGTGGGAGGGGTTTTTAAATCATCTGGTCAAGTGCCCTCAATTTCATTGATAAGAAAATACAGGACTCTAGAAAGTCACCAAGGTGATTTATCCCATGCTACATAGCTGATAACTAGGAAAATCAGGATTTGAACTTAATTCTGTGGCTCCAAATACAGGTCCCTTTCCACTAAGCTAAAATATCTTGTGTTTGCTGGACAGATGAAGCCAGACAGACCAAGGGAATTGGAAGAATAAAAAAAGCAGGGACCTACCGTGTTTCTTGGCCTTTTCTTTGCTTTGTGCAGAGGCTCCAGCACTCCCCAGGGTGCTGCTGTTGAGAGGGTCCAGGCAGAGCTGGGGTATGATGGAGCTGCCCAAGTGAAACTACAGCCTATATGTGTACTGGGGCTCCCAGGGAAGAAGACTCCAGAGCTGACCAGAGCTCAAGAGAGCTGGAGGAAGAAGAACCCTGAGGGGAAAAATGAGAGAGAGGGTAAGTGGGGGGGGGGGAAAGAAGAGAATAATTAGGACTTTTGAGGGAAAGAAATAAGTCAGTAAGCATTTATTAAGCACATACAACATGCCAGATCATCTGCTAAGTGCTGAGGATTAAAATAAAGGCCAAAAAACCCCGAGCCTGCCCTCAAAGAGCTCAGAGTCTAATAGGGTGACAAGACATAAACAGTCTCGTACAGACATGATAAATGGGGGCCAATCTTAGGGGAAAGGTGAAAGCATTAGGGGGAATCAGGAAAAGGTAAGGTTTTAGGAGAAAGACTCCAGCATCACTAGTCCACAGCAAAATGCAGGAGATAATGTTTTTCTCAGTGAATGGTCTCTACTCCTTTCTGCCCTCTAAGGCATATTACTAAAATAAACACAGTAATGGGAGACAAAATACTTTCATTCTATTTTTGCCTCTACTACATACTAGTTGTGTGCTATTGGATAGTAATTTAGTCTCTCCAGGACTCAATGTCCTCCTTTGTAAAAAATGAGGGCATTTGACTAAATGATCTAAGACTCCATCTCATTCTTACTCTTGATGATCTTAAAATGCTTTAAGGTCCGCAAAGTCTTTTTGTCACGAATAGCCCTCTGAGTTAGGTAGGACAAGTATGATCATCCTCATTTTATATATATGGGAGAGAACTGCTTAGAATCATTAAATGTTAGCATTCCAGAATTTCAGCATTGAAACAAGCAACAATCCCTGGCAATCCTCTCATTTTGGTCTCAGTGCTACTCTATGGAATCACAGAAAAGACTCATCTTTCTCCCACGTGATAGCTCTTTAAACACTTAGAGGAAGTAATCATGTACACCCTAAGTCTAGCCTTAAATCACAGAATGGGTATTGCCTCAGATAAACTGAGACCTGGGAAAGACCTTAGCTTAAAAAGGCCAAGGTCTCCTACTGCATCTGGGATCATCTCCCTTCCTGACCTATATCTTTTCACTGGATCTTGATGACCCTGAAGGAAAGAGTGAGGCCGATGACCATGCAGCTCTGCCTCACTTCAATCCAATTCACGTGCAAGTCAAGCCTTCACCCTCCTGATGTCATGGGTCCTCTTTGAGAAGGAAGGATGAACAACAACAATAAAGCTGTAAGAGACCTCACAGGTAAATGGTCTGATCCAATCCCCTAACTTCACAGATGCTAAGTCAGAGGCCCAGAGAGGGAAAAGACTTTCCCAAGGTCTCACAGATAGAATAAATAGTTAAGACTCAAATTCAGTCCCTCTGACTCCAATCCAGTACTTTGGCTACTCTAATAGACTATTCAGGCCAAGCTAGTTTTTTTTTTCTTGTTCCTTCCCTTAACTTCCCATCTCTTCCCATCCCTTCCCTTCCTATCCCTCTCCTTTCATCCCTTCCCATCTCTTCCCTTCCCTTGCCTTCCCTTTCCATCCCTTCTCTTGCCTTCCCATCCCTTCCCATTCCATTCTTTCTCTTGCCTTCCCATCCTGTCCCTTCTCTTGCCTTACCCTCCTTTCCCTTCTTTTCCCTTCTCATCTCTTCTCTTGCTTTCCCATCCCTTCCCATCTCATCTCTTCACTTGCTTTTTCTTTCCTTCCCTTTACATCCTTTTTTTCTTTTTTCTCTTCTTTTCTTTTTTCTTTTCTTTTAGGACTTATCACAGTGCTGGCATATAATTGGCACTAAATAAATGTTAGCTATTATTATTATTGCCATAAGAAAAGATGCACATGTGCAAAAAATACAGAGCAGCCTTATTTGTTGCAATAAAAGGCTGCAGACAGAGCATGTGTGTGGGTGACTTGGGGAAAGGCTAAACCAACTACTATATGAATGTGATATAATATTACTCCGCCAAAGGAGTGATGAATATGAAAAATTTCAAGGAACCTGGAAGAACCTGTATGAAGTGACACCGGGTGAAGAACGCCAAGGCAAAGAGCAATATACTCAGACTCCAATCACCTAAATCAAGATGACACTAAAGGGCAATAAAGTTCGGGTTAAAAACAACAGAAAATGTGGAGACCATTCAAAGAAGTTATAGCACACGTCCTTCCTTCCTTCCTTCCTTCCTTCCTTCCTTCCTTCCTTCCTTCCTTCCTTCCTTCCTTCCTTCCTTCCTTCCTTCTTCCTGTTAACAATAAAAAATCTCCAAATGTGTACACTGACCTGTGCTATCAGTCACAATCATGTTATCAAGCAGTTTTCCTTAAGCATTTGGGGTGAATGTACTTTACAGGGGGGTGCTAATGGAGTGTTTGTTAAAAAGCATCAGTTGTGTCAAAACACATTATATCTTTAGAATACATGAAAGGGAGTAATGGAAAATGAAGCTGGAAAGATTATTTGCAGCCAGATTATAGAGGGCTTTAAATGTGAGGCAAAGAAGTTTGGTTTTTAAATCCCAAAGACAGTAGGGAGCTATCAATGGTTAGCTGTGGCTTAGGAAGGTGGTTTGGTAGCTATGTGAAGGTTAGACTGGAAAGAGTAGAAGCAGGGAGATTGACTGAGGGATGATTAGGATAGTCCAGATGAGAAGGGAGGACCTAAATTAGGGCATTTGGGATGGATGGCAGAGGCTGATAAAGGTTGCTGAGGTTGACCCGAAAGATGACTTTCCAGTTTCCAGTGGGAATGACTAGAAAGCACAGAAATAGGGAAGTTATAAGAAGGGGTGGGGTTGGGGCAAGGGAGGGGAGATGATGATTCAGTTTTGGACATTTTGATTTTGAGTTGACAACAGGACATCTGGGGGAAATTTATAGCAGGAGGTTCGAGGTGTGGGATTGAAATGTGAGAATGAAATTAAAGCTGTAGAGACAGATTTGGGAGTCAGCTGCATAGAGGTACATGATAACTGAACCTGGGCACAAATGAGTTTTCCAAGGGAGTGAATAGAGAGATAAATGAGATAAGGTCCCAGGACAAAGCCTTGAGGAGGACCCACAGGGAGAGGACTTAGTAATCAGCTAGTCAAACACTTTCATTTTCCATGTAGTACTTAATTTCCCAAATCCTTGGACTGGCTGTGGCATGGTGACACCCCTAGGTCAGAACCCTAATTTATGGGGAGTGTGTTACAAAGTGAGGCTGCCTGAGACCAGTGCAGTTGCATCCACAGACATAGGAGAGGCAAGCAGGTAGAGTGTTGCTAGAGGCAGAGACAAAAGGGAAGATGATAGAGTGATGTAGCTATGGTATCTTCAAACCAAGGAAATGATGGCTAGTAGTTTTACAAAACTAGTGAGTGTACTTCTGCAGAAACACCAATTGGCTCTGAACTCCAAAAACCTGGGTTCAAATCCCACTTCTGATGCTTACTACCCATGAGGACTGGGCCTCAGTTTCCTCATCTTTCAAATGTGGGACTGGATGGTCTGTAAGGCCCCTCCCAGCTCTGGATCCATGATGCTATAATACTAGAGGAAAAGGTCACTTGCTATGCCCTTACCATTTATTACTGGGACTATGAGTGCCAAAGCGATTGTGTCTTCCTCTGTGCTGGAAAATCAAGAGAGTAAAGTGGGAATTATATTAATCATTCCCCCCGGAGGTGAAAGCTATTCTACTTAATTGTGCATGGCTGCAGAGAATGTTTTTGCCATGTGATTCCCTTCCTTGTTTATGTTGTTTCATGTCATGATTAAATGTTTTTGCTATTAGATTTCTGTGTCCTTTGTATTATCTGGCAACAGAGAGTATATTTATTGCAGGGGGACACAGACCCTGAGTTATGCAACTGATTATCCAAAACAGGCACGTTGCATTTTGGGGAGGGTAAATGATAGCAAGATTGGATACAAATTGGAAAACTGAGGCCCAGAAGCGATTTGCTTGGCTAAGGTCACATGTCTAGATAGTGGCAAGGCCAAGCCTAGAGCCCAAGCCCCCTAACTGTCTGCCTAGGGTTTTTATACCATGTTGCATCTCATAAAATGCTTCATTTCTCTTCCATGATCAGAGCTATTCAGCTGAACACCTGGTGTATTCTCATCTTTGGGACAATGAGGGACACTGCATGACGAGGAGACCAAAGAGAGAGTATGAGGTACACCAAGGGGGGGGGGGCTCCTTTTAGATGCTGCCCCAATGTAAGACAAGCAGGAGCTGGGGCCTTTTATGAGGCTGTTAGGGAGTAAGAAGAGAGGTGAATGTGTCTGGGGTGTTTGGTGGTAGGTAGAAACCAACCCATGCACTGGCTTGAGCAGAGAATCTGGTGAAGGTGAATGGAGTGGCTGCAAGGGAGGGACCAGTTGGGACTGGGAAGAGCAGGGTAGTGGTGGCCTCAATGTTTGGCCTCAGGCCTTTCGCCCTTGTGTCATCATTGTGTTGAGCAGAGTGTTGCATGGGTGTCTGTCTGTACCAAGACATGGCTGATAGTGCCCCAGAGCACATTGCACAAACAACAGACTTGAAGGAGCAGTGATGGTGAAGCTATGGTTGTACGCACCCTACAGATCCTTTCCTCACTGATACCAACTTTTGCACTTGCCTCTGGTGAGCTCGAACCTTGGACTTGGGAGTCAGGAAGACCTGGCTTTTAATCCTGCTTCAGACATTTATAAACTGTGTGGCCAAGGCAAGTCAACGACACTCTTTCAGCCTTAGTTGAGAAGTTGGAGTGATAGCAGGAGCAACTGTCTCACAGGATTGTAATAAGACTCAAATAAGATTACATACATCAAATGTTTTGTAAGCCTTAAGGTGCCATGTAAACAGGAACCATTATTATTAATTCCTATTTCTAGCGAAGACTGCCAGAGTGGAAAAGCATCAGGCAAGCTTAGCAGTCACCCCACCTGCTCTCTGACCTGCCCTGGTGCAGCTGACCCTTGGCTAAACTTTTCTAGAGGATCTGTCTTCTAGCTTTCTCACTCCGCCTTTATACCAACCAACCCCTCCAGAAAAGGGAGCCGTTATCATCATGGTATTATGATCACAGTAGCGTTATAGTATTAGAGCACTTGGAACTGGAAGGACCTT